GAATAATATCTCACAAATGTGTGAACTGTGACAGGAAGATTGATCCGAGACACCGGAAGAGTGAATGCCCGAGTTTCGGAGCCGCGCGGGTTCGAAGTTTAAGTCTCGACTTGTGACAAATGGTATCAGAGCCAGCCCTAAATCGTTCCACACCAAGCGCTTCTAGAGAGATAGGTATGGTGGCCAACCTCCATGACGAAGACGTCATGATGTTAGGTGGAAGAGAATGTTACAGACCTAAGAAAAAGTCATGAATCTCACATCGAACATAATAAGAAGGTCACTGAGATATAAAAATGTTCATACCACCTCTTTCTTGTGAGATGCCTTTTGTAGGATAAAACCGTGAGGCCAGAGGGGGTCAGAGAGGACAATACCTTACAAGGGTATGAACCGTGACAGGAAGGCTGATCCGAGACATCGGAAGGGTGAATGCCCGGGTTCCGGGCCGTGCAGGTTCGAAGCTTAAGTCTCAACCCATGACAAATGATATCAGAGTCAGTTTTAAACCGTTCGATCCACGTCAAGCTCCTCGAGGGAGGTAGGCAAGGTAGCCAGCCTCCATGATAAGAGCGTCACGAAGTTAGGTGGAGGAGAATGTCACGGACCTAAGGAAGAGTCTTGAATCTCACATCGAACATAATAAGAGGGTCACTGGGGTATAAAAGGGTTCACACCACCTCTTTCTGTTGAGGCACCTTTTGTAGGACAAAACTGTGAGGCCAATGAGGGCTAGAGCGGACAATACTTCACAAAGGTGTGAACCGTGACAAGAAGGCTCCTACAAAATTGCACCTTTTGTAGGATAAAATCGTGAGGCCAATAGGGGTCAAAGCGGACAATACCTCACAAAGGTGTAAACCGTGATAGGAAAGCTTCTACAAAACCGTGAGGCCAAGAGGGACCAAAGTGGACAATACCTCACAAGGGTGTGAACTGTGACAGGAAGGCTGATCCATGACACCGGAAGAGTGAATCCCTAGAGAAGAATGTCACGGACCTAAGGAAGAGTCACGAATCTCACATCGAACATAATAGGAGGGTCACTGGGGTATAAAAGGGTTCACACCACCTCTTTCTTGTGAGGCACTTTTTGTATGATAAAATCGTGAGGTCAATGGGGGTCAGAGCGGACAATACCTCACAAAGGTGTGAACCGTGACAGGAAGGCTCCTACAAAACCGTATCTTTTGTAGGACAAAACCGTGAGGTCAATGGGGCCAGAGCGACATTACCTCACAAAAGTGTGAACCGTGACAAGAAGGCTCCTACAAAACCGTGAGGCCAAGAAGGATCAGAGCGGACAATATCTCACAAGGGTGTGAACCATGATAGGAAAGTTGATCCATGACACCGGAAGAGTGAATGCCCGAATTCCAAAATCGCGTAAATTCGAAGCTTAAGTCTCGATCCGTTATACATACATTATTATCTATCTTAATTGGTGTCTGAAAGTGGTTCAGATTTTAGTGTCTAACGCAAAACTTAAGTACTTAACGATGCAAAAAGATGCACAAGAAGACTCACGAGGAAACTTCTAAGGGAAGTTCTCATCTGAGCAATGCTCTATCTGGTTTATTAATCCCTGCAAAACGATAATTTAGTTTGAATTTGATCATTCCTGGACTGGGACATTGCAGGAAACAGACGGAAATTATATCTATATCTTTCCAATATATTATCAATAATATTTATTACATAATACTGGGATCACATGCATTTCATTCCAACCTTTTCCGTCATCATTGACAAATTTGTCTTGCATGGTTTGAAGCTTAGGTGAGTTAATGGAATTTTCTTTTTTTTTTAAAGGTTATGGGACTATTAGTTAGAAAGTGTCGCGGGTTCTGCACCAAAGAGCTTTTAGGGTGCCATGATTATGAAACTAGAAAATGTGCTTACAAGTTACAACATCATGAATTCCTGACCATTTACATGGTTGTTGGAAACCCCAACACCACTGAGATTGCTAACGAGATTTATTACATTTTAAATCACAATCAGATTAATTTAACGAAAGTTAAATTAATTTTTTAATTTTTTCAATAAAATTCAAGTTTTCAACCAAATATACCAAATGTGTTTTTTTTTTTTCTTTTTCTTGATAAAGGGAGGTCGAAGTTGAGAAGATTTAGATTACTACAATTCTTTCTTTCCATGTAATTTTCACTTTTATTTTTACTTTAAATTTTTATCACATGTTGTAATTTTTTTAACAAAAAAAATCATATTGAAATTACTTTACCGAAAGATAATTTAATCATAATTAACTTTCAATCTCAAAAATTTATCTTCATTCTTTTAAAAATATATTTAGTTTTTTTTTTATTTTGATAAAATAGTTAATGATTGATTTATTCATACTTCTTTTTATTTCAATTTTAAATTATCAAAGGAATCGAAAAATTTTCTTATAATTTACTAAAATCTCGTATAATTAATAATTCTATCATTAATTGTAAATCATGTTATTATCAAAAGTATAATGTTGATATAGTAATATTTTTGTTTTATAATTTTATGAGTTCATCATATTTTTATTTGCATATTGTTTGCACACACATATATATTAATAAATATGATAAAATATATCTTAAGAAAAATAAAATAAAGTATATTATATATTATTTTTTATTCCTTCAAAATTATATGTCAAGATCTGTCATTTGTTGGAAAACTTCGTACCGAATAGCTGGATAATGAATTAAGGTTTCAGGTCTTAGCATAATTCTTGAGATAATAAGTCAATATAACAATATTCTCGCAGTTCTGCTGATCAAATTGCTGGCTTCAAATTCATTTGCATGCCTGTACATATTCTAAACCCATATTTATGTATGGGAATTAATCAGGTCTCATCTCAAGATTGTTGCTTCATATTTGCTTGCTGTAATCCTGAATGTTTAGTTTCTTCGTGACTTGTGAAGTTGGTATAACAGAGTATATATGGACTTCATAAAAATCCTTTGGTTATGGATTTAGAAGACAAAACCATTTAGAAGATGGAAGAGAAGCAGAGTTGTGACTGAAGTCACCACATCTAGATCACGCATTGGAATCAGTTGGTTTAAGGTTTACACATGCAAAAGTGACACAACCTGTCCAACATACAGGAAAACCAAACAAAAACTGTAATCAAACTGACATTATCAGCTTTCTTTTATGATAAACTGTCAGTTAATATATGAATAAACTCCGAATTCTTACATTATCAAGAAGACAAATCGAATAACATTCGGTACTTGAGAAAATCAAACTTAAGGCGTGTGGAAACACGTCTTATCTTAAGCCGACTACTCTTTTACCATCAAAATAAACTAAATTATTGTTGGATTGCTACACTCATATTTATTAATTAGATAACAAAAAGATCAGGTACTGATCTTGTCAGAAACAAGAAACGAGTGATGGAATGGAAAACATTGGCTCAAAGGAGAGGCAGGAAACGCGTCCCATGGTCCAAGATAAACTCTAGAGTCTCGTAGCAGCAGAAACAGCAACAACATGTAAACAAGCTGCATTCCAAAAAAAAGAATAGAAAACAATTAAAAATCTTCATTGCTAAAAAAAATTAGTAGTATTTATTTAATATTTATATATACATAGCGTAAATGACGCCTTTTTCCTGATGGCGGCTCCGAATATGTTGCCAGAGTGACATTGTTTGAGTTCTCTCCAAGAAAATGTGTCTGAAAAATGTACAGAAAGAGAAGCTAAGGAGAAGATTTCTGCATAGAAGAAAGCCTGATATGGTAGGTTTTTATAGAGATTTATCCTGCATATAGACAAGGGGATATGCTTGATTTGCTTTTGGATACTACAATTTTGCTCAAAAAAAAAAAAAAGAAACCTAGCTCACTTTTGGGTTTCCATATTTCTGTATGATGATTGGTTAATTGGGTAGCTGTGGACTTGTGGTTGGGCTGATATTCTTCTCTTCCATCATAATAATAATTAGTACAAGCGTGCAATCTGTGCATTACAAAGACACATAGTAGTGGCTGATGAGTACCTGAGTGGTGATACCAGCAGGCTGCAGTTGCTAGCGACCACAAATGACAAATTGGTTTATAAACAGCTTCGACCCAACTCAATAATCAGCTTTATTTGTCTATTTTTGAACCAAGGAAGAGCAGACAGCCGAGGGAAAGGAGGATGGGCTTGGGGAGGGAGGGGGGATTACAATTGTTTTTTTAGTCTGGATTTAATAATATTAATAAGAAATAATGATTAAGTTTTTTAAAATACTTATGATTTTTTCACTAACATGAATAATTTTGTGAAGGAATCAATAACTGATGGTCATGTGGCTTTGAAAGAAAGAAAAAATGCCAAACCTAAATATGAAAATTTAAAATGTTAATAATAAAAAGTTCACCAAATTTCAATCTCTACAGTTTCAAATACTATAAAAATGTGAAATTGATGTGAGTCGTTGGAATCCGTGGTTTACATCCATGGTGGTCCACAAATCCTCAGGCCTGAACTGCAAGATAGTTTTTAGCAATGGTGTGGTCCAAATTTTTAGCTCCCACTTCCGCGTTCACATTGGCTTTAAATCCTCTAGAAAAATATTTTGTTCTATTCAGGCTTAAAGAACAAACCGAAAGAACTTCACCCCATTGATTGGGCCCAATAAACAGACCAAAGTACATGACCCAGCTTTTTGTTGGGCGTGTTGTTCCACTAGCAGTAAATTCAGGCATTTTTGTATGAAGTCTCATCGCTGAAAGATATTTTTGTATGGAAGCATCATCCATAGCTATAATGAAAGTTATTTTCGTATGAAAGCATCGACCATGCCTATAATGTATTAACAAAATATGAACGTATAATAAAACGCTAATAATTTATGATTTACATCATATTTTATAATTTATATTAACATGAAAAATATAAAATACATTTTTTATTTTTTTAAACTTATAATTTTATTAAAATTTTAACTCGTCACTTTTTGTCTTTTTTTCATATCCGTGAATGTTTTAAATTTTCTCGTCTAATACGGACAGATAAAAGAAGCCCATGATAGATAAATATACTTGCAACACAACAACTCAGTGCCTATAAATTTTTTGAGGCAGTAGCATCACTAATCATTTCAGTACAGCAATTTTAGCATCACAAACTAGGCCTAATTCCGGAAGGTCCAACACTGCAATCAGAGCAGCTGATTTACATATATGCATTTTTTTTTTCTTTTTCCCAACAGGGTTACTCGAGTAATTAACAGGCAACAGCGCATGTGGCTGGTTTTAAAGGAGGTATGATGTTATCAGCTGCAGGTTGGAAACGGGCAGCAGTTTCCAGGTGTTCCCATGTTAGTTTCCTCTTCTCAGCTGCCTCACTCAATTGGGAGTTTTCCTCCTCCAACTTACGCTGGCAGGCAAGCACAAGCTCTTCATCCATCTGACACAACATCTTTCTTATGTTTTGTGTCAGGTGAAGCACAGCTTGGTTCCAATGACCCTGGGAATTCCGCTCAAGGGCAGGAAAGACAAGAGGAAATATCACCTGGCGATTATGCGTAATAAGATTAAGGATATGCTCATTGTTCCATAGCAAGTGGGCTCGTTCAGCCACCTGAAAAAGTGGAAAGAAAAAGGTGAAAACAATTTCATATTGCCATTTGGCTGCATGACAGCCATTGCCATTCAATTAATTGGTCTAGTGAATATAGATCGAATATGCAAAGAGAAATACTAACACCAACAAAATGCATCGAATTTCATCAAATTTCTGTTACTAAAATTGAACTACCATACAGTTCAGTATATGGAAATTTCATGTGTCTGTAAACCAATTTGCCTCTTTCCCTTAAAGAGCATATATAGCACTCCAGCAAGGGGTGGAGGTATCATCAATCAGTTAGCATAAGAACACAGCCACATGAACGTTAACATTTTTCTCATATATAGTGATTGGATGAGGAAAATTTACCTGGTAATGGAAGCTGTTTAAGCAGCATGCAATACGCCGAAACACTGGAACCATTATCTTTTGGAACTCAGCCATGCTAGTCATCTCCAAAATCTCTTCTAACTCACTTATATACATCAACTCCTTCTGGCTATTTGTAACTGGCCAGTACTTTAACAGCCCCTTAATCACGCTATTAGCTAACTTTGGATCCTTTTCTATAAACTGTACAACACAGTATGTTAATTGCTGATGATAGAGACCCACTGATTTTGGTTTGTGTAGAGGAATAAGGGCTTTCCACAAAAACATTTTGTGCTCCTCCTTCAATGGTATAGCAAACCCACTAATAATACTTCCAAAAATCTCCAAGAGCTCAGCAATACCATTATGCCTTTCGGTTTCAAAAACGAAACGATAGATGATATTGCTAACAGCTTTTCTCACAAAGGGCCTGTGCACCATGAATTTCCCATAAATCCCATGCAGAATTGTTTTCAAACAGTCTCTTTCCCGGGGATCCTCAGACTCAAAGAGGTCAAGTAATCTCAAAATAAAAGAATGATCTACATACTTTTTAGCCACCTTTGACTCAAGAGAACTATAGCTGATAAACTGAAGAAGTAGATCATATACAAGTTGCAAATTGGGCCAGCCGGGATCAAACATTGGTTCTTCATCTTCTGCTTCACTAGTGCTATTAGAGCGATATTTAGGTGGAAAAACTCTGAACAGGTTAATGGCACACATTTTACTCATTGCAGCAATTGCTGGTTCGTTGAATTTCGCAGACCCCGAAGAAACAAAATCCACAACCTCTATCAATGTTTGACGTTTGAGATCTTGCTCAGCAGTAGTTTTGTCTGGATCACTGAAATCAGAAACCTCACAGCACAGGTTCAATTTAGTGATAAACAGGTTCTGCTTCTGTGGATTTGAAACATCCTTGAAAGATAGATTCGGCTCTACAGCCTCCACTCCAGCCATGATGCTAGCAGGAAAAACAGCTGAGGACACCTTTTTAACAACACTTAGTCGACTTGATATACTATTCCCAATATTTGTACATTGAACTCCGTTGCCTGAGTTAGAAGTATGGTTACCAGAATCAATTCCAGCAGAATCTAATGAGTCAGATTTTTGCAACTTCCGTTGAAGTTTGCTTAGAATTTGTTTGAGCATGATGGCAACAAAGCGACTTCCTGCAACTCAAACTGCCTGAATCACATTACAATAGTTACAGACTTACAGTGACTCAATTTGTAAGTGAAATAGGGATGGCATCAATATGCTAGAAAAAAATTAAGAACAAAAAGAATTTTGTGTCATAATAATAATTTACCAAGCAAAGGATTCCCTTGTAACATTTCAACCATATTGATTTAGTAGTCAGCAAGAGAAATCATGCTAAGATTCATAACAGGCTATAATTCTGATTGAAAAATATATTCATAGGATCAAAGTGAAATACCAACAAGCATAATATTCAATGCAGCAAATAAAATTGAGGAAAATTCACAATGTCATTAAAAAGAGGCATCTATCCTTAATTCCAGGTATTATCATGCCAAAGACAGCCAGATACTTATATGTTTGGATTTAAAAAAAAAAAAAAAGCTTAAAATTAAACTATTCCTTCTGGTAAAATTAGATACATTTTTGCTTTTAGGAGTACTAAATTTTAAAAAGTGACTAGTTTTGCAACAACATTTCTTTACAGGTGTAAGCTTTGAAAGTTTCCAATCTATAGGAATCTAAGCTAGAGTATGTAATAATTATCAGAGACTAGGATTTAGCTTTTATCCACAGAAACTGATGACAAAAATGAAAACATGAAGAAAATTCAGTAAAGCAATTACCCCAAATTACAGTGTCACAACAGCCACCAGCATCATTCTTCAAAGACAGCAAATAAATCAAGCTAAAGCTCTCACTTTGATGCCATACAACTTGAAAACTAAGTTCCTCAGAAAGAAAGTCATAAACTTTAGAAAGAAACAGGGGCCTCACAGCAGCAATATTGTTGATAAATTGTAAAAGACGATATAGAATTTTGTTTCATAACAGGATAGCCATATGAACTTCTGATCTGGTAAAATAAAGTGAACCAGAGAGTAAATCACCAATGATCTAACACCAACTCACAAGCTTATGACAAATGAATAGAAACCCAGATCTCATTTATCAAAAATTACAACTTTGTAACTGACAAAACTATGAACTAAAACAAGGTAGAAAGTACCAACACAAAATGTCATCATTAAACATAAATTTAGCTAAATATTTTGACCCTCAAGGACCAACAAGTAAACCAATCATGCAGTTAAGCCAAAAATAAAGACATAAAAAGAAAAGAGAAAAAACCTGTATTTGTTGAGCTGTCAAAGATAAGATTAAGTTGGAAGAGAAAGAAAAAGAAAAAAACAAGAAGGTTTTAACAAAGAAAGAAGTGAAAGAGAAAAACTCACAAAATGGTTTAGACTTCAGATAAAGACAGCATTTTGCTTTTTCATTAGTTTCAGAGTCAGAGAAGAAAATGGGTTTGAGTTTGAGTTTGAGTTTGAGTTTGAAAGTGATAAAGATAGAGTAGGTTGCTGGTGTTGGATCTCCATGAAAGATGAACAGTTGGGTTCCTTGATTGAAGAGAATGATAGGTGTGGCATTTTCTGAGAAAATTGCAGGCACTAGTCATCCAACCAACGACATTCATATGGTAAAAAATTTTCCTTTTTCTTTTTAACAAGGGAATTATTATTAGTATAATAATAATTAATGATTAAGTTTGTCATCTCTTTTGAGTACTTGTTTCTATTTTTTTCTCTTTTGAGTACTTGTTTCTATTTTTTTCAATTGATCTCTTGGGTAAAACTTTGGAAACTTTGATCGCCACTCATCATTTAATGGCACCTTTTCAAGTTTTTATTATTTTTTGGAGGGGCTAAGGGAAAGTAATATAGATTTTCTTTAGCTAATGAAAGGAATTTAGTAAGAATTACTTTCAATCATGCAATAATGAGATGCAAAATTGTTTTTATGATATAATTGAACTTACCACCTTTCGATTTTAATGGTTTTTTTTTTTTTTTGTTCTTTTAGGCTGCCGCTGAACACATTAGGCTTTGTTACAATAATAGAGTCGACAGAGTTTTTGCGCTTCAACGACATAATAATGTTGCCTTCGCCAGACCATGGAATCCTAGGAAGGTAGATTGTACCTCATCAACTTACATATTTGTCCTCCTACTTTCACAAATAAAATAAACGTATAATAACAATTTATTTTTCTAATGATAGCAATTATTTGAAAAACAATAATAGTTTTTCTTAATTGATCTTTCCTCCCAAATTTCTCATGATAAAAAATTGTCAAACTCTACGTGCTTATCGGTAACATTGTCTAAAGGATTGATAACGAATATAAGGATGCTTGAGGGCATGACAAATAATTTTTTTATTAAGTTTTTTTCATTTTACATTAGTTATTGATGAACTCACTAGTAAGATAAAATGTCATAGTTTATGTTATTTGTCAATAATATAATTTTAATTGTTGAAACTTGTGATATCTTTAATACGAAATTAAAATTATAAAAGAATACATTAGAGTCTCAAAGTTTTAAATTGAATAGATCTAACTGAATAAATGAATGTATGTTTAGTAGTCACAAGAAAGTGAGTACTAATGTGATTAAGTTGAATAGTTATGAGTATCAAAGAATAGCCAATTTCGATATTTGGGGATCAATTATTCAAAGTGATATTAAGATAGAAGTAGATGTCAAACATAAAATTCAAATAGGATAGGCAAAGTGATGAAATGTTTCAGGTGTTTTGTGTGATCGTAATATGCTTTGAAGTTAAAAGTAAAATTGTATAGAACAACTGTAATGCCTACACTACTATATGAAATTGAGTGTTGAGTTATTAAAAAATAATATGAGAAAAAAATAAACGTAGTAGAGATGATGATACTTAAATGGATGTGTGATAAAACTATAAGAGATAAAATCATAAATGAAAAGATTCAAAAAAATTAGGGGTAGTCCGAATCGAAAAAAAGATTAAAAAGGGTCATTTGTTATGGTTTGGATATGTGAAACATAAGCTTAACTGTGCATTGATTAAAAGAATTAAGTTTTTAGATATAAAAAAAATCAAAACATTTAGAGGTAGATTATGAAAAATATGAATATAAGTAATAAAAAATGATTTGATAGTTAAAAAATTATATGAAAAAATGATTGTTGATAAAAATTAATAATGCAAAAAAATTCAAACTACAATTTAATTTAATTTTTTTATTTAAGTTTTCATGTAATTGACCTCCGAATATGGGTTATAAGACTTAATGAGATGTTATTGAATATTACTCCAAACCTACAAATAAGATAATAATGATAAACTGAATTTACCCGATTCAAATATTAATTAACTCGAATATATAATGACTCGAAGCTGAACAATGTACAATCATAATAGCAGTAAGTACATCATTATCTGTTGGAGTACAAAAGGAAATGAGGATGTCACCTAGAAAAATGACAGTGTCTATTCCGTAAGCTTTACTCTTCGGAAAAAAAGGAAAAAGAACAAGCCATTGAAGTGGGGCAGTAAGCATTGTCACTATAAAACAAACAAACAAGAGTTTTACTTCAAAGTGATAATAGTGTGTTTGGCCAAAAAAAAAGTGATACTTATGTAAACAGTACAAAAAATTCAACATCTCATTGATCTCTTTATTTTGAACAACTCTTTTGGAAGTGAAGCAAATTAAACAAGTTGGGTTGTCAATTGCTTTGCTATCATTAAATTCCATTTTATAAGAATCTTGAAATTCTTGCTCTCTGTTCATAAAAAACAGATTTATTGTTGGGAATCTAACATAATTACAACTGGGTTTCACCCAAGTTAAAAGAAAGGCAGATGCTAAAGGAATATGAAAAAACTAAAAAGATGTTTCCTCTGAATAAATGCATTCATGCTCCTCGTACATTCAAAGAAACAACATCTGTCTTTCGTTTCTTGGTTTAGTGACTAAATAAGTTTTATGATGATATAGAGGTCTTGATTTCGAGTCATATTATTTTTCCTTTGTAAGGACTATAATATTTCTTTAAAAAAAAAAAAAGAAACAAAAACTGATTTATCTGATTCTCAACTTGGGCTCCAGCATTTTGGATTAGAAGAAGAAGCCTTTGATACTGCATCAATTAATCAATACAAAGTTTCAATAAAAAGTTTCAGTTACCAAAAGAAAAAAAGAAAAGTATTGTTAATGAAGATGAAGATTACAAAAGTGAGGATTAAATCATGTTTATATTACCTAAGGTTAAGCCTGCAGCCTCTGAGCTTTTCACCAACCGGATACGCTTGCAAGATTCTATGAACATCCTCTTATAATGAAAATTATTAGGAATTTCCTAAATTGAATCATGACAACAACCAACCACCAAAGTTGTACTTAGATGCCATTTTCATGAAATAATTTTGGTCGGACTAAAAAAATTAATGAACCCATTTTTTTTATAATGTATGTCACAATGAATATTTGAATTCTAAATATATTATATATCATCTCTTACAAATAACTGCATGAACTAACAAGTATAATACCCAAATTCGAATCCAATTTAACATATCATATGAGGTCCCCTAGTGCACATGGGAATTATAGAATAGTTAACATCAATTAATTATTAAGCAGCATTAATAAAGATTCGGAGAGTAAGCAAAAATAAGATCAAAATGATAATAAATATGGGGAATATTTTCAAATTATAATTAAGCTGCAAACAATAAAGAGACAGAAATATCTGAAGTTAAGTGCATGTTGCACCATCAAAGTACAATAAACAAAATAGTAGTAAATATTGTTATTAATATTTAAACTTACTTCCAAGGAACATCTCCAACTAACATCCAGTCACCATCTTTGTCTTCATATGTTGGTACATACTCCATTCCCTTCACCACACTTTCCTCCCTGTTAGAGTTACCTATAAACGATTTCAAACCCACCATTACTTAAGACCTACTAATATAATTATTTCATTAATCTTTAATTATAATTGTCATAACATATAGTTTCATAAATCTATAACTAGACTTAACAAATGAATGGAGTCACTATTAATTTTTTTTATCTAGGTGTGATTGATCACCTAAGAAATTTATCTTCTTAAGAATCTCCTAAGCTTGACTAAGAGTCCATAAAAGAATAAGTTTGGATCTACTAACTAGAACAAGGTTTGAAAATTCGATTACATATGGAGCAATTATAGCACCCCCACATGCCTATCCAAAGGACGGTACCATATTATTTTGAATTTATTATATGATCTTAAGTCTAATGGTTTTAATATTTAATGTTAAATATTAAAAATAATTTATAAGATTCTCCATCAATTTGGTAAAACTCTTAAAAAATATTTTCTCACTTCAAGAGTATTCAAGCATCTCATTTGATATCTTAAAGATGCTTCGTTGTAAAAAAAAATGTTTATTTATTTTTTATTATCATTACCATTTTTTTGTTGAAAATAAGTATTCAAGCATCTCATTTGATATCTTAAAGATGCTTCGTTGTAAAAAAAAATGTTTATTTATTTTAATTATTCCACCGTTTGGGCCAAATTAGAAATTTTTTTTTTTAATTTCTAAAATTTTCACCATTTAGGCCTATTTAGAAAATTTTTTTCTTGAAAAGAAAATAATATAACAATTATTTTTATTAAAATTTTATCTAAATTATTTCACAATTTGGGTCAAATTTAGAGAAAAATTTTCACCTAAAGATTTATTAAAAATTTACCATTTGAAATTTCTAAAAATCTCATCCTTGGATAATTATCATATATTTTCAACCAAAATTTTTTGTTTGGAAAAAGAATACAATTACTTTTATTGAAACTTTCATCTAAATTATTGTACTATTTGAGACAAATTTAGAAAAAAATTTCACCTAAAAAATTCTTAAAAAATTTACCATTTGAAATTTCTAAAAATCTCATCCTTCAATAATTTGTATTTAATTCCAAAATTTTTATATTTTATATTTTTTTGTTTGAAGATAAATATTAATTATTGGTATTGAAACTTTTTCTAAATTATTTCACCATTTGAGACACATTTAGACAAAAATTTTCACCTATGAATTTTATAAAAATTTATCATTTGAAATTTCTATAAATTTCATCATTGGATAATTAATATTTATTCCCAAAATATTTATTTTTATTATTTTATTTTTTATAAAATTAAATCATGCAAAAATACTCATAAAATAACTAAACACATAATAAAAAAATAATTAAAAAAATTAAAAATTAAAAATTCCAAAAAAACAAAAATGGCTCGGCTTGTGGCTGTGAACGGCTTGGCTTGAGATAGAAACCACGGCTCAAAACGTGGCTCGAGGACAATCGGCTTTGCTCGTTTGACTCAGCAGCAGAGTCTACGAAGCGGGTTGAAGCGGGTCAGTGCGATGGGTCGGGTCGCCCGAATGGAAAACGCGCGGATCCTGGGATTATTAACTCTGAAACGACGTCGTTTTGCAGGGATATAAAAGGCTGAAACCCGATCTTCCTTCAGATTTTTCTTCCTTTCTCTCTCTTTTCTCCCATTTTCTCCCCCATCTCTCTAGAACAAAAACTCAGAATCCGGTTGAATTTTCACTAAATTCTAAAAAATCACACCGAAATCTGAAAAAACACGTCAAAAAATCTAAGTTTCGTCGAAAAAGTCATCGAAAATTTGATCGGATTCTAGAAATTTTTTAGAAAATTTTCAAAAAAAAAAACCAAAAAATTTGAAAAAAATTCATAAACTGCTTCCACGATCGCTACTAACACCTTTGAGTTTTTTTTGCTTCTGTTTTCTTCTTTCTTTTTTTTCTATGTTCTTCCTGTATGTTTCAATATCTATTTATAGGGATTGATCAAAAGAGTTTCTAATCAATCTCAATTACATCTTAGATTGAAATTTAAACTTTGAATCCAATCTCAACTCTATCAGCCCCCAAATTCAAGTCCAAATCTACTCTCATCACTTTTTTTTTATTGTTTTTAATTAATCTAATCATTATCTCCTAATTAATCAAGAAAAGATAAAATCAATCAAAAAATAATAGTAATATAAATAATAGTAAATAATAAAAATAAATAATAAACGAAAAAAACAAATAAAAATAATATAAATAAATAAATAAATAAAATGAACCCATCTTACCTATTTGGATCATATTCAATTGATCCGAACCTAAATCAAATTGGGTATCTATAATAATTAGACAAATGCTAAAGATTAATGTATCAAAGAAACTTGTTTAGTTAGTGTTTTTGAAAATGAATTTTGTAAATAAATATTATTTTATATATAAAAAAAACCATAATACGAGAATAAAAAAATCATAGAAATTTAAATTTCTGTTAATTTTTTTTAATTAGCACTTTTAACTAGATTAATGCATTGATTGGTTGTAGGCATTTAAAATTATTATATTTCTATAAATTGCTGCATTTAATGCAAAGATATTTTGAAAATATTTTTACGTTAATGGACGAATACTCACGGATGGTGAAGCAGGTAAACAAATTCTGTAATAAATCTTTCATCAGCTCTTGGTAATTAGAGTAACCTTCTAAGTTTACTTTGCGAAGATATGGTGCTCCATCCACGGCCACTTTCACATACTTACAGCTCTCATTTGTAGCCTTCTTTCTAGATGATCTCACCGGTGGCCAACCAACAACTTGTGCCTTCAAAGCCATATAATATATTACACAAATCAATCATAAAGATTATATGTTCTTTTTCTTTTTAATGCTTGTGATTTAAGCTTCACAAGTTTAATTCTATCTGTTTTCGAGAAATAAAAAAAAATTAATGTTATATACACATAAAAAATATACATATATATCTAATAATTTATATATTTATATTTATCTATTTTATATCAAATATATATAAAATATAAAAATTACTATATGATAATTTAAATTGATACATCAAATATAAAAGACATTTTAATTTTGTTAAATTTATATATGATTTTTATTAAAATTTTAAATTTTATTATTTTTATTTTTTTTATATTAAATCATCTTATTATCTTTAAAATTAACAAATATATATATATACATAATTATTTTTAATTTTTTTCTCTAAAGCTAATATCAATACTAGTCAGTAATATGTCAAAAACTGAAAAGTTGATACCATTTAATATAGCAAATAAAAGCAGTTTAAGAAAAAGGAAGTCGCCAGCCTTACTTGGCAGGAGGTGTTTTTCCGGCACTGGATTTATTAACATGAGTGTCACCACGACCACGTGGTCTGCTGCTACACTTCCCAAGGTTAAAATCAACGGTCTCAACGAACCCCGGTTTTGCAGAGCACTTAACAGCGGAAGACCGTCCACTCCTAGCAAGTCCTAAAGTCAGCTTCGTGTCCTCAAAACTCATGCTGGTGACGTCACTTTCCGGTGAGCTCAGTGTTTCTTCCAATGACAAACCTCTTTTAGCGGTTGCGTTTTGTATTGAAAAAAAAAAAAACCTACATATGACGTGTAAAAAAGCTAAACGTTCGAGGCTTTAAATGCAAAAGGAGGAGCCAAAGGAGCAGGAAGATTGATGGTGCAGCCAATGAAAAGGAGGAACGTGGAGAAAATGAACAATGGGTTTGGCATTAGTGCATGTAGTTACGTAAGCAGCATAGAATTTTGAGCCACCTTGTCGGTTTGTCCTTCGAAATCTTTATTTTTAATCAGAGTTATTTTAAATTTATTTTTTTAAATAAGATTATTTAATTCGAATTATTTTCATGTCATTTTTTATTAAATGAAAAAAATTTTACGTCAATAATAAAAATATGTCAAAAATAAATAAATTAAAACAAAACTTTAAACCCTGATCGCTCAATTATTCGACCTTTCAAGAAGCTGATGTCAAGAACGAACCTTTGGTGTCTCCTTACTAGCTTTTTTCGTGAGATTGAATCAGATGAAAACTCATTACAACCTTCTGTTGCAAGAGAGTTTTTTCAATTTTTGAAAGAAGAAAAGTGCGACTTGTCCAAGTTTGGAGGTTCAAATTACAGTGGTGGTAGAGGCAATAGTGGTCGAGTTTGGGGAAATTGAGTTTTGGGAAGAGAGATGGGTGGTACTCAAAAGAGTATAGTTCTAGTAGGCAAGGCAAATCCAGACTACAGAATGGGGCTTCTTGTATACGAGTAAAATAAGTAAGTTTTTTTTCGATTAAAGCTCTCATCGAACCATTTCTGATGATTGAGTCTTTCCTGAGTCAGTGAGAAAGCTCTGCTTTAAGCCTTTCTTGATAGTTCTAGCAAGCCCTTCTTTGACCGGCCATTTTTGTGAGTTAATTATACACCCATTTCTGGATATTTTCTGTCAGATCTCATTACCTAATCTTATTTTTGGACTCTGGCGAAATACGTTCCAATTGCAGCAGTTTCTGTGTAACCAAGCGAAATATTGGAAGTGTCATCCAGGTGAGTTCAAACCGAATGGGGAATCATCCTCCATAATTGGTATTACTCTTACTTTGACTCTGACTCATTATTATATATTTTTTTGGTATATTTGCTTTTATTTCCATTATGCCATTTTTAAAAAATCAATTAATTTGTAAGAATTTCCAATGCATACTCAAGCATATGTTGTTTGAGGCTCGACTCTATTATTAGAACATGGGATTGAAAAAGATCTGCTTTAGGGGATGATTTGACGGGGTAGCCTTTCTTTTTATCAAAAAAGGGTATTATAATTGATGTTATTTTAAATGTTGTTTGTGTGAATCGATCTTTCATTAACCGAAAGCAATGCACAACTTTGAATACAGCTTCACATTCATGAAATTATGTACACATGCTAAAAATTGAATGGAAATTTCACTTGATTTGCTTTGTGACTATATGAAAATTTTGTGATTAAGTGGGTTCTACTGGCATTATGTTGGGCAATTTTAAGGTCTGAGGTTGTGAAATTGTTCTGACATAATGACAGTATTGTTGCAGGTAGGCAGTTCAAAAGAACTTCAAAGATTTTATGATGGGATTGTTGAGTCAGCTAATGGCTGTCGGTCGAATCGCTATGCAGTTCTTGAGAAGACTGGCAGGTAGACGTTCTACTTTATTACTCTCATGTTTAGATCATTGTTTTCAAATTTTGCTTATATATGGATAGATTACATTCATGCTACTCATTTTAAATAAAATTTAGTTTCAACATTTTTTTATTGTATTATTGTATCAAATACTTTTTTAATATTTTGTACCCTTATTTGCTCTATAGTTCAACTTCAAATTATAACCTCATCAAAATTTGTAGAGTTTCTTTTAAGTTTCTTTTCTAAATAGAAAACAAGCTTATTCTCAATGAGGGAATTAACACCGTTAAAAAAGATATGAGTTTTAAAGTTTTTTTTTTAATTTTCATTTTTTGTAAAAGATTTTCATTTTTGTTATAGAAAGATATGAGCAACAGTGACAATGAAAAAAAAAAAAATCAAAATGGTTATGTGTCATAAAATACCTTTATTAAGGTAATAAGATTAAAAATGCTTTTATTAAAGAATAAAGATTTTATTCTATTTTAGTGTAGGAAAAAACTCCATTGCTTTATGCTTGGTAGGTAGGATAGTGTTCCTTCATGGTTAACATTACTGCTGAAGTGATGATATCTGGTTAAAACCTCTCTGTTATACATTATTTTATATCTGTCATATACTATCTCTGTTGAATCTATATGGAATACTATCTCTGTTCACCAACAGCTTCAGATTCAAACTTTTCAGATCATAGCCACAGCTTCAAAGCTTGCATAAGTAAACCCATCTTCTGGTGTAACATGAATGGTAAAAATTGCAACCCTTTCAATTACATTAATTGAATAACCACAAGGATCAAACTCAAAATCACATATCTTAGAATCTGAAAAGATCTTTCTTATGCCAGATTTAATGGTCATCAGAACTGCCAAGCCTGATTGGTCTTTGTAGAAAACTAAAGCCATTTCCCTATCCAAACCAGTCAAGCACATCTCTATAGTGTAAATAGGGCCACTGGTGATAACTGATTCTGTAGATTCAGGGTACACATGCCATTTTTGTTTATTGAATCCACCATTATATAAGCATTGCTGCCAGCGCTAAGCTTCCCAAAATAGGTATCAAAGATAGCAATTTTTTTAAAGAAGTTACGATGAGGATAGGGCTGAGCACCAGGGAAAATAAAACTGCCACAAGTATACCTTACAGAATTTATGGCAAAATCAGTTTTACAGATGCTACTCCATCAAGATCAGTTGCAAAGAATATTAGGCAAAGACTAGCAAATGTCATTGGGATTTCTTGTGACTTAGTCAATAGGGATCTATAAATGAGAACTTTGTGAAAGACTATTCAAAATATTTTTTTTTCTTTTATATTCATTTATTTGTTGATATTGCAGCTGTTAACTTTGTATTAAAGCTTCCCTGTTCTGTTTTGGGTAATAAAAATATTCAATTTTTTTTTAATCAAGCACCTATTTGCAGTTGAATAATAGGAAGTTGATGATTATTTAGGCTAAAAGATTTTAAATATTTTATGCTCTTTACTCTAAAAAATTATGTTGAAACCAATCAAATTACAAAGTAACCAACATTTTCATAATATAATTAAAAGATAAAACTAGTAAATTGAAAACAAAATCATAAAACCTTTATGAAACTATGAAATGAACAAGTTCATGTCTTAAAAATAAAAACAGTATGCATGCTTAATAAAACTACTTGGATATGACATCTGCAATCGTTCCCTCCATAATTTTTCTTAGAATTCTTGGTAACCCTGCATATATTTGAAAAAAATATGTATTAAATAATTTTTAACTTGAAAAGAAAAAGAATATTACTCATGAATATCCATTATTCCCAACATTAGACAAATAAATTCCTTTTATCAATCTATGAAATTGGAGTCAAAAATAGAAAGTCTCATATCAAAGATCCATTGTTGAAAATTTTAGCATTGAAAGTGGAAAACAAAGATAATATAGAAAAAATGCAAGCAGAGATACAAGCACAAATAGAAAAAATTGATAATTTATAAATGGGGTGTAAGAAATATAAGGTGTTGGTAGATTCTTTGGAGAAACAAGTTATCAAATTACATCTTCAATAAACTTAAATGAAAAAGAATAAGAAATACCTTATATTTCATATTAAACTGCAGCTGTATTTGAATCATGGCCTGGTTGTTTACAAAGTTTACAACGAATTGTTGTTCGACCTTCATTGATATCCATCTCAGTTCTAATTCGTGTAGACTGTGATCGACCTTTTTTTGAACGTCTAAGATTAGGATCTAGTAATAATTGTGGGATATTAGGCTCGGCCAATAATCTTCATGAAGGATTGGATTAAACTGAGGTGCCCAAGTTTGAGAATATTGTTCAATGAAATAATATTTTTCTATATATTACCAACTATCAAGTGCCTACATTTCACATACAGCCATCACATGTGAATAGGAAAACTTATAAATTTGTCATTTTCCACATGTACATGTTCTTTTATCAAGTTGAATAACTTGTTTGTTATGACCTCGTTGCATTCTCTCACCATAAGATGCAGTTATTACTTCAAACACTTCTTTTTGTATATCAAATGGAACAAGATCATGTGTGTTGGCCTTTGCTAGATAACCTTAAAGTTTAGCTGTAAAATGAGGAGTGTACAAGTCTCCTTTTGCCAATGCCTCCAATGCAAAGCCCTGTCTGGTGGTAAAAAAATTAACCAATCGATAAAAGGTTAATTGCACACATGCTGTGATAGGTAAATTTCTAGCCCCTTTTAGCACACCATTGAACACCTTAGATAAATTAGTTGTCATTATTCCGTAACGTCCACCACCATCATGTGCCAATGCCCATTATTGTACTGGTATCTTATCTAACCATTTTCAAGCTTCAAGATTAATTTTTTCTATCTCTTTCATTATGGTATCAAACTTTCGTAACTGATGTGCATTTTTAACTCTATACACAAGTATTTTCAAGTTTTTATTATGAAACTTATCATTAAAATTACTGCATATATGTCACGAGCAAAATCAATGATAGGTTCATGGTTCTTGCCATCTAGAGCTAGGTTCATTCACTGCTGCACAAATACCACAATGATGATTAGATATCAAACAAATCCCTTTTCGTTGAGTCATTTTCTTTTTAATGCAAGTAAAAAACCATCTCTAACTATCAAAAGATTCTTCTTTAGCAATAGCAAATGCAAGTGGTCAAAGCTGGTTATTAGCATCAACTCCCATTACAATAAGCATTTTACCTTTATATCTTTCATACAAATAAGTAGCATCAATACTTATAATTGGTCTACAATACTTGAACTCTTTAATGAAAGGTGAAAAAACCCAAAAAACATGGTGTAATAGTCCGAATACTCCAACAG